TGTTTCAACACCATTTCTTTGTATCTTGATTTAAATAGGTAAATATTTGGGCATTGCTTGAGCTGTGTCCCCAAACCATTCCAAAGTTTGACACCACACACAGACACACACAAACTTTTCCTGGTGGTTCTCACCACCTGGACTTTAAGGTTCCCACATCCCCTCAGATTATAGCCCCCCTCTCTTCCTGTAAAGGACTTTTGAATATTGCCCGGTAGTTCATTTTTGTTGTCTTTATACAAGAGTTGTGCAGTATAAAAATAAACTAAATCAAAAAGTTTTAATAGTCTGGATTGCAGAAATAATATATTTGTGTGATCAACATATCCCACCTTATGTATGATTCTAACTGCACGTTTTTGAAGTATGAAGAGGGGATGTAGTGAACTTTTATAGGTATTGCCCCAAACTTCTATACAATAAGTTAAGTAGGGCAAAACTAATAAACAATACAATATATAATGCATTATATTCCAGGACATATTTAACTTTATTAATTATATAGATACTTTTGGATACTTTACCTTGTATGTATCTGATGTGTGGTTCCCAGCTTAATTTACTGTCAATAATTATCCCTAAGAATTTAATTTCTGACACTTTTTCTATTGCAACACCATCTATATTTATTAATACTTCTGAGTTTTCTTTATAATTGCCAAACATCATTACTTTAGTTTTATTTAAATTCAGAGATAATTTATTAACATCCATCCATGTTTTTAGTTTTACTAATTCTTTATTTACTATATTTATAAGTGTATTATAATTATCACTAGAATATAATATATTAGTGTCATCAGCAAATAATATCAGTTTCAATAATTTAGATACATGGAATATGTCATTTATATATCAATTAAATAACTTAGGACCCAATACTGATCCTTGGGGGACCTCACAAGCAATGCCCAGACACTGTGACGTAAACCCACCCAACTTCACAAACTGTTGTCTTTCAGTTAAATAACTTTTGATCCAGTTCAAAGCCACTCCCCTAATGCCATATCTTTCCAGTTTATTGAGTAAGATTGAATGATTGAGTGTATCAAAGGCTTTTCCTCCACAGCTTCAATTATGGCCATTGATGTTGACCTCTTTGCTCTAAAACCATACTGACTTTCATTTATTATATCATATTTATATATACATTTTTCTAATCTATCATTAAATAATTTCTCTAACATTTTTGAAAACTGAGGTAGCAGAGAGACAGGTCTATAGTTTGTGAAGATGTGCTTGTTTCCATTTATATACATTGGTGTTACTTTTGCAATTTTCATTTTATTTGGAAATATTCCAGTCTGAAATGATTCATTGCATATGTACGTTAGAGGTTTTGAAATACTATTTATTACTTTTTTAATTAGTGTCATATATATGTCATAACAATAAGTAGATGTTTTATTGTTGCATTTATTAACAATAGTTTTAATCTCTGTCTCACTCACACCAGTTCACTTGAGCCAGCACAATCCTGATGTAGTTGATTGTCCTACATTAGCACATCTAGAAGTACTACCCGACTGTCCTGCAGAGATAACCATCTCTCCACAATCATCTTGGTAATCTGCATCCAACTGTTCCTGGGTGGGGTCATCACTGCCCTGCAGGGGTCCTCAGTCTGCCACATTGTTTAGAATGCTAAAGAGGAGCATAATAGATGGGTGATAGATAGTGATGTATTGAAAGCACAATGGAATTCTTTGATGAACCATTAATGAGTGATACCAATGCCAGTATCTTATTTGTAGAATCTGTGCTGATTTTGGCAGTAAAAACTGCATTTAATGCTAGTGAAATTGGTACTATATTCAGTTTTAGAATGATCACATTTCTGAGATTGTATTTTAATTATTAAAGCAGAGAGCAGAATTGGTTTAAAATGTTTCAACTTCTCAATATCTAGTTCTTGCACAAACATGCAAATCTTTGTTTTTCACATTAATTTTTTTTTTAAATCAGAAATAACCATGTTTTTTTTACTCCTTTTACTATGAATCTGCAGTGAATCAGAATTTCATGACACTTTTAGCAAATCTGCACATGACCCTGGTTTACACATTATCTAAAAACCTACAAGTTTTAGTTAACAGAGATTTAAAACAGGTTATAATCAGTTCCTTATAAGGCTATACAAATACAATCAGATGTATAATCGTGTGCTCCAAAGGAAACATGAATTTTAATCTAAATGTTTAAAGTGGATTCAGCATGAATAAGTAGCCTAAAAAGATAATCAAATGTATTTAATATTTTAATTATTAAAGCAGAGAGCAGAATTGGTTTAAAATGTTTCAACTTCTCAATATCTAGTTCTTGCACAAACATGCAAATCTTTGTTTTTCACATTTAATTTTTTTAAAATCAGAAATAACCATGTTTTTTTACTCCTTTTACTATGAATCTGCAGTGAATCAGAATTTCATGACACTTTTAGCAAATCTGCACATGACCCTGGTTTACACATTATATAAAAACCTACAAGTTTTAGTTAACAGAGATTTAAAACAGGTTATAATCAGTTCCTTATAAGGCTATACAAATACAATCAGATGTATAATCGTGTGCTCCAAAGGAAACATGAATTTTAATCTAAATGTTTAAAGTGGATTCAGCATGAATAAGTAGCCTAAAAAGATAATCAAATGTATTTATATATGTTTCTTGCAAATATTTGAGATTGTGAAACAATGATTTCACTGCAGATACATTTAGTGGCCTTGTATTCCGAGCTTATGTTGATATAATCAACCTCTCATGTCACACATTAAAAAAAACAAAACAAAAAATCTCATGATGCCCACAGATTATGCCATATCAGTTAATGATTTTTGCATTTGGTATTGACTGATTCGGTTATGTTTACATTGAGCTTAACTGGCACTACTTTTTTATCGTCGCAGACAAATAGCCTACTGGCTATAGTACAAAGTACAATAAATAAAGCCTATTAGGCCTATAGAATAATCGAGCATTGCACATCCACACAAAAAAATACACTAAAATAAACTATGTTTTCAATCAAATTTTTGAAAACATATCAGTGTTGTACCTTATTCAAATATTTCCTAAACAAAAAATCTCATGATACCCACAGATTATGCCATATCAGTTAATGATTTTTGCATTTGGTATTGACTGATTCGGTTATGTTTACATTGAGCTTAACTGGCACTACTTTTTTATCGTCGCAGACAAATAGCCTACTGGCTATAGTACAAAGTACAATAAATAAAGCCTATTAGGCCTATAGAATAATCGAGCATTGCACATCCACACAAAAAAATACACTAAAATAAACTATGTTTTCAATCAAATTTTTGAAAACATATCAGTGTTGTACCTTATTCAAATATTTCAACAAATGCAAAAACAACAACAACACATTTTTGTGCACATTTTCCTTATGATATTGTAACCATGAATCTAAGACCTTTAGGCCTACGTAAGATTATATAATATCTTTAGATAAATTAAAATCGTATTTTTGTGTAAGAGCATAATTAACATTCACAGTGACAAAGTTAGGCTTTTTTTATTGCAAGAAAGCAAACAGTAGGCTACTGCATTGAAGTACAACAAAGGTAGCAATTTTTTTTATTTTATTGTATTTTTTATTAATACAAAGATATGCAACAGAATGACAGTATAGCCTATTATATGCAAGGGAGCAAGACAATAATGTAGCCTACCTTTTGAACAGATTCACAGTTTTTACTTTCTTATTAGTAGAGTCAGAAATCAAACACATACAGAGTTTTAAATCTTCACGAAAATTTCTATAGAAAGGCTTAAGCTTGCAAAATGTAGAATTATGCATAAAATATTAAGCCAGGAACAAGATAAGATTGAATAAATAAAAAACATCTGACTGTTTCTCTCACGTGTATATCCTATAATAACATTTTCATATTTCAAAGAGATATCAGGAATTACACCACGAAAACACTCGATATGTTTTTCCAGAGATTCTTAGTATAATCTCAATACCAAAAGAGATGAGACAAACAACAAAGGTAGCCAAATCTTTATGCATGTACAAGCCTGTGACGCAACGCGTTGAGAACACGCCCTCAGAGGGCTGCAGTCACGTGAAGCCTTTAAACGGGCGCCATTTTCTGTGTAGGCTCCTGTTCTGCCGCAGCCGGCGTCGCGTCCTGCAAGCTTTCTGTGTGGTCGAGATAAAACTGAGGTAAGCAATACTGCACTTCTTCGAATGTGTTTGGGCTCAAGTGAAACGTTTTATTCTGATGCTGCTTTATATTGATGTATAGTTTGTAATGGCGGTTCATTTGTTGTATGTATACGCTTTTTAAAATGTATTTATTGAGAAATTTAAGTAAAACCATTTTGTAGGCGTTTTGTGTTGTAACCGCTCTTTTACTTAATTCTTCGAGTGCGGTGTATAAATAGAGCTAATTCTGTCGGAATTTATAGGTTTCTTTGTTCCTCAAAGCACAACGTGACCTAGTTCTACTGACCTACTTTTAACCAAATTTGTTAATTTAAAAACGAATGGTTATTTATTCATGCGATATTTAATAAGTAACTTCGATGAAGGTCTGAAAACGTTGAATTCAAAGGGGTGTAATCTGTATCTGTGGCAAAATGGCTGCAGCACGCTGTGAAGAAGACGGGTAGAAAATGGCGTTTCCTTGTTGCGCACTTTAAAAAAAATAATACCACGCATGTTAAGCCGGGCGATTCAATTTAGTCTCTTCAGAACTTATTTGGTGTTTTAAAAAAAAACATTTTTTTTTTTTTTAAATATTGTAGTTTTTATGTAACTTATTGTTATAAATTTTTCCAGTAGGTGATTCAACATGTCTGACGAGGGAAAGCTCTTCATTGGTGGTCTGAGCTATGATACTACAGAGCAGTCATTGGAGGAGGCTTTCTCCAAATATGGATCAATTGCCAAAGGTTTGTTTTAAGCAGTTTAAGTGAGGTTTGTTTACATTTTCACTGCTTTATTCTTGATTATGTGGTGGTGTTTTTGCTTCAGTTGATGTCATCCGGGACCGTGAGACCGACCGTTCCAGAGGCTTTGGCTTTGTGACTTTTGAAAATCCAGAGGATGCAAAGGATGCCATGGCTGCAATGAATGGAAAGGTAAGATCAACACCCTTTAAGGACAGAGAAATTTGTAACCAAATGTTTGTTTATTTCTAGTCCTGTAAATGTAACCGTTTTGATACCTGAATGTGTACTGATTGCTACATTTTTAATGGTAAACTGCAGGAAGTTCATCAAGGCAAACTGGGTGGAGGCCTAAAGTGAGTTTCTAACAATAAAATGCATTTTTTTTTTTTGCAGTCTGTAGATGGCCGCCCGATTCGCGTTGATGAAGCTGGCAAATCTGGTAGACGGTCTGGTGGTTTCAGAGGAGGTTCTGGAGGTGGCAGGGGGTTCTTCAGGGGAGGCAGAGGTAGAGGTTGGTGTTCTTAATCTCAAATGCAATTGTACTAACAGATGGCTGCATTTGCATTTGAAGTAGCCTTGGCGGCTTGTAATTATCATGACAAAGCTGGTCTGAATGGGTGCATTTCGAGTATCTTGCATGGGTTTTATTTCATCTGTTTAACTTTTTTTGTTGTTGTTACATAGGTGGTGGAGGATATGGTGGAGACCGAAGCTACGGAGGTGACAGAAGCTTTGGTGGTGGTGATAGAGGCTATGGCGGAGGTGACCGATCCTATGGTAGTGGAGATAGAGGCTATGGGGGAGGAGAGAGGAGCTATGGTGGAAGTGACCGATCCTACAGTGGTGGCGGATACTCCAACAGGAGTAGTGGATACTCCGGTGGCAGCGGCGGTGGATACAGGGATAACAGGTAAGGGATTTAAGCATGGAACAATTTTGCACAATTAATGATTTTATGATCATTGTAACCATGAACACTTTAAATATGGCAAATAATACTTTTGGTTTTAGAAGCCAGAGTGGATATGACCGTTCTGGTGGATCCTACAGAGACAGTTACGACAGCTACGGTATGTATTGATTGTTCAGAATTACTCATTTTACTAGATAACTGCACCAATAGATCTCAGCCCACTTGTGTTTTAGAATAATGTCTAGACCAAAGCAGAAAGACAAAACTGCCATTTTCGAACTGAGTTCAGTCAACTTGGTTGCCTTTATCTTGGAATTGATGACCACAATCCAAAAAGTCATTTTACAATAGTAGTGACTAAAGTCGGTTTTGTGCACTTCAGAATAGTCCATAAGACCTTGTTGGAAAAGAATCATGTCTTGGTGTCAGTTCACTGTTTGGAATGGATGTACACAATGCTCCAGTGCCTTTACACTTTTGCCTACTTCTTGTCCTCAGCTTCACACGAGTAAAAAAAAAATCCTGATTGCAAGATCATCCCTTCGCTGGCTGTATATAAAAAGATGCGCTCTTGGAAGACCTTTTTTTTTGTTTTTCCTTTTTTTTTTGTTTTTCCTTTACGTTTTGTGTTCTGGTTCAAATGTTCTATTAAAGACAGACTCCTTTTTTACCGTGTCAAGTATCCGCAGGATGTTCCTCTCATTGAGGAGCTGCCTAATGTCCATGAGCATTCACTTACTGTAAGAGTTTCAAGCCCTGTGAGGCTACCTGTATCTGACATTTTTACCTTGCGATTGTGTTATAGATGCTCACAGAGGTTTGAAATTGTCCTTTGTTTTCCTTTTTAGTGTGTGTTTAAGAAACTCTGTCTCTGAAACCATGCGTGAAAATTGACCTGTCCAACACAGCCTGATAGCTTCTAAAACCAATTTCCTCAAAGATCTTTGGACCAATTTCTTAATATCGGCTCACTGAAAGTGCTTCAAGGGGCATTTGCATTTAAACTATTTTAAAATGGCACCTGAAAATATTCTAATCTGATCCTCCAATAGAAGCTTGATAAGCTGTGATGTGTTCTTTATTGCTCCTTGCCACCTCCATTTTGTGATGCATTCCTTTAGTGAAGCAAGGCAGGCATGTTGCATTGGAGTTGTCTCCGGCAAACCTCCTTGATGTTGCTAAAGATTTGTAAATATCCATTATCAAAAGAGTAAACCACTAAAGTGGGTCATTCCGCCTCACGTTAGGACCGATGGCCCAAGGTACTTTACTCTTTGACCAGTCTAAATTTTTTTTTTTTTAAAGTATGCTCTACTGTGGACTGAACTTATCCTCTTAAATGTCAAGATTTTGTTCCTCCTTGGAAAGAAATGTGCTCTGTTCTGTATATCAACACCTCAGAATCCTTTTTCTTTTTGTATTAATCTGGATTCATGAAGCTCATTAAAAAATGGTTGGAAAATGCTCTCTTTTGCCTTCGATATTAAAAAGCTCCATACAAGCCAGGTGAATATCTTGGAGTGGATAGCTGGGGTTTTAGCATCTGGGATCCTAAATATTTTTCATTGGGCAAATAAAACTTAGTATTAGATAAGCTAACAAAGATGAAACATTGCTGTTGTGGTTTAGCAAGCAATGGATCTGTATAATGCTTCATTGGATCCAAGAGTTCTCTGCTAGCAATTACGGAAATCAACAATGTCCTTGGAGAATGAAGTGTTGTGCCTTCCGACTCAAGAATCCTGAGATGAAAGCTGCTCTCTTGACTAGGTCATTTGTGGAGCTAGGCCTGTAATGTGAGGTAAAACCTTTTGCTCTCCTGTACGCATCCTACAACAGTTCTCATTGTCCATGTTTTCTTCGAATGTTGCCTCGACCAGTGATTACATCTCCAGAATCTGTTCAATCCTCTTCCACAACCCCTCCCCCCCCCAAAAAAAACACTTCCTGTTCCTCTAAAAAGCTGCATGATGACTTTTTTTTTTAGTTTATATATTGTGCTCGTGTTTGGTGGACAGTACCTCATGTGGCTTTTGAAATGAGAGATTTTAAGTCCCTGTTCTGATCGCAAATTTGTCTGCACCAACTATAAAGATTATTTTTGGTCCGTTTTAAGTCACCTATGTCAAAAGATTTGAAATTGAAGAGATGTAGCTTTTTCGTGATTATGGAGACTCGTTTAAAGTTTGGCCCTTCATATTTGTTTTGTTTTAACACAATTTTGTACTGGTTTTTTGCACTTTAGTCTAGAAGTGTTTGTAGCATCTTATTTTGGAAGATATTTTAAATGCATGATTTGTCTTGGTTTACATCTGTATACTAAAATAACCTTTTATTTTTCAGATTGACTCCCTGGACGTGTTGTATTTGAAAACTAGAGAAGCAAGATAACCTTTGAAATGACTTCATTTTCATGGCATAAACACGGGTATGGATATCCATATAGGAGGTATGGATTTACTTGTAGAATCAAATACATTACTATTAGTTTGATGTGGGTAATGGACAGATGTTCTGTTGAAGATTAAAGGGTTAGTTCACCAAAAATGAAAATAGTCAATTACTCTCCCTCGTGTCATTCCAAACACATACACCAACACCTTCGTTCATCTTCGGAACACAAATTAAGAATTTTTTATTTTTTTTTTAATGCATCCCATGAGCTCTTGGACCCTCCTATAGACAGCAAGGGTCCTTACATGATCAAGGTCCAGAAACGTAGCAAGGAGATCGGTAAAATAATCCATGTGACCTCAGGGGTTCAACCATAATTTTACAAAGCTACGAGGATGCTTTTTGTGCAAAGAAAACTTAACTTTATTCAATTCGTCTCCTGCATCACGCGGATACGTTTGCGCTTTGATCGGAGCGTAAACAACGTAGCCGCGTGACGCAGCTGATACAATAGCATATGTCGTTTATGTTCAGTGGATACTCCAAAATGGTGCTACAGGGTGATGTGGAGGAGATGAACTAGTGAATAAAGTCGATTATTTTTTTTATGCACACAGTATTCCCATAGCTTCGTAAAATTATGGTTGAACCCCTGATGTCACATGGATTATTTCAACAATGGCCTTGCTACGTTTCTGGACCTTGATCATGTAAGGACCTTTGCTGTCTATGGAGGGTTGGAGAGCTCTCGGATTCCATCAGAAATCTTAATTTGTGTTCCGAAGATGAACTAAGGTCTTTCGGGTTTTGAATGACATGAGTGTGAGTAATGACAATTGTTTTTTGGGTGAACCATCCCTTTAATTTCTTCAAACAATTATTGTATGTGGTGTTTGGCTGTTTGAGTAGTATTAATTGACTTGCATGCTTGTTGTTAATGTTCGCTTTCTAAGAAGACCTTTTGTTACTTGGCTTTGCTTTTTCAGAGCTCATGGAAATCCCTGCTGTGCAGATGAACCCATCTCTCCCAAAAGAAAAGCAGAGAAAGTGTCAAAATACTTGCAAAATATGATCAATCTTCCATCTAGATTGAAGTTTGATTATATTTTGCTTAAAACGGTTTCTGTAGAAAGGTGTTAACTTAATGTGTGAGAATGTCAAATCAATTCAATAAAGCTTTTTTTTACATCTGTTTTGTTCAGTACTTTGCATCGTTTATTAGCACGGGTTATTTAGTGGCAGTACTTTAACCACAAGGTGGCAGTGGTGGCCAGCTGCACAAAGGCCACATAAAATGAAATGCTTATTAGGTTTTGGCAGTACGAGTTGGGCTTTATACTTAAGTTTTCAAGTTTACACAGGTTAGTTCTTAAATGCGTTTGAACTTGCATTAAACTGATCAACTAAGGAAGTTTATCTAGCTTGCCCTTTGAATGATTCTTTATAGTTTTTTTTTTATCCTTAAGAGCAACCATGTTGTTTTCTTTTAATATCCATTTATTGTTTTGAAAGTTACTCAGTTTAATTATGAATTAAACATTTAATTTATGCTCTCATTGCTGAGCTGTTCATTGTTCAGAAGTTTTATTTTTGTTGCGGTTTAATCTATGGCTTCCTTAGTCAACATTTTGGCTGAATGAAGACTTAAAGGCACAATATGCAATTTTTGTCGCTAGAGGGCGTGTATTGAAAATGAACACATGGACAAAGGTATAGTTTGGTGACTGAGTGTGGAATCATGGGAGTTGTCATCTTCATCCCCTTAGCCGATGCAATCCGACGGGACTCGGGCAGAAATCATGTTCATGGATGAGCTAGTTGAAGCAGAGTGAGGCTGAAAGCCGTCGAAGCGAACAAGTCTGCAAAATATATAACGCTCTTCTAGTGGTTTTTGGATATTTTTATTAAAAAAATCTTACATATTGTGCCTTTAATACTGATTTGGCTACTAGGCTAAATGTTGTAAAACAATTTTTGGTACTAGACAAGACTTGGTATTTATTGGGGTTTGGGTAGGCCTACCAGACAATTTGATGGAGACGCGTGATCGTATTTCTTCCAGCCCCAACCCATGACCATGCAGGCCTTTGAGATTTCTTCATTCTCAGGTTTTGGCAAAGTGATTATATTCACAGTTCTGTTCAAAGTTGCTGGGGTTTTGAGCTGAAAGAAGATGTAAAGTTCTTGCTTGAATTAATAGCACCTATATTTCTTGCAGTTTTTTCTGAATTGTTCTTAAAATTTCAAGTAGAGCAAAAGTGTATTCTGTAAATGCCAACCATTTCCTACCATGAAAGGCCATTTTTCTAGTTGTGAGGGTAATGAAATTGCTCAGCATTATTTATTACCTTTAGAAGCAAGATGTCATGACCTGTTCTTATACTGAATTCTGGATGAGGAAGGGGATCTACCTCTACACAGTCCGGTAAAAAGTTGGTGTCATCGATCCCCAAATATGCCATAAGATAACAAAAAATTACAACAAAAAATAAATACATCATACAGGCCAGGTTTACAATATTTACAAAGTTATTAATATTTAAAATACCGCGATATGACTGCCACTTCGGACGTCAGAAGTCACCAATGTAAAAGACACTCAATATTCAGGAATATTGATATGACTGCACTGACACCAACAGATGACAAAACTTAAACTGAATTAAGCTGAATAATGACTTGTTTTCTGTAGAGCTGCTTTATGGCTGAATCACATCTTACAACATCAACCCTGTTATTAAACTACAACTAAGTTCATCAACATTGGAGTGACTTTAGCATATGTATTTACATAATACTTGAGAAAGAGGCAATAATTAAAGGTGGAGGATGAATTACAGAACACAGGTAATGATTCATGTGTTAGCTTTTTAAGCTGGAGATGGCATGGGGGAAAACAGTTTTTATGCCTAGAAGTTTTAATGCATGCCTAGATGTTTTAGTGCACAGAGATCCGTAGCGTCTGCCTGAGGGGAGATGTGCAGACAGGTTGTGTCCGGGTTGAGAGGGGTCTTTGATGATGTTTCCTGCCCGTTTCTTCACTCTGGAGTTGTACAAGTCCTGAAGGCTGGGCAGGTGCTCACCAATGATCTTTTCTGCAGTCCTAACAGTCCGTTGCAGTCTTCTTAAATCTGATTTGCTGGCTGACCCAAACCAAATAGTTATAGAAGAGCACAGAACCGACTCAATAACAGCTGAGTAAAACTTTTTTGAATTTTTTCAGCTGACGAAGGAAGTAGCCTACAACCTCTGTTGGGCCTTTTTCACAATGGAGTCAATGTGAATATCCCACTTCAGGTCCTGAGAGATGGTAGTTCCTAATCTGAATGACTCCACTGCAGCCACAGTGCTGTGGTGGTGAGAAGGGGGAGAGCAGGGGGGGTTCTTCTGAAGTCTACTATAATCTCCACAGTTTTGAGTGTGTTCAGCTCCCGGTTGTTGTGATTGCACCAGACCGCCAGCTGCTGAACCTCTTGTCTGTAAGCAGACTTGTCGCCGTCCTGGATGAGACGGATGACTGGTGTCATCTGCAAATCTCAGGATCTTGACAGAGGGGTCTTTAGATGTGCAGTCGTTGGTGTAGAGGGAGAAGAGCAGTGGGGAGAGAACACAGCCCTGAGGAGCTCCAGTGCTGATGGTCTGGCTGTTGGATGTGAGTTTTTCCAGCCTCACTAGCTGCTGCCTGTCTGTCAGGAAGCTGTTGATCCACTGACAGATGGAGGTAGATGAAATTTACACTGTTATTAAACTGAATTGAACCAACATCGAACTGACTTGAGCTGAAAAACGACACTATATTGCTGCAAAATTTGCATCATCTCCATAATTAAGTTTGCATAACTAATTTTATTTTCCTGTTTATTACTGTGAAGCTCCTTTGTCAGATTGTACACCCTGTCTGATCAAATGATAAAATCTGGCAATTTAACCTATACCTTTGTTTACAGTGGGCAGCTGTCATCACATAATCCTCTGTTACTAAAAAAACACAACATGCTTGTTTTGATACTTTGTCACGAATGTAGACCATGTAGGGTCGACTGTGTGAAACGGAGACTTTACCACCAACAATGCCATGTATGAAGAAACCTTAAAAAAGAGTTTGGTAACACTTTACTTGAAGGGGTGTGCATAAGACTGACATGACACCTTCATAATCATGACATGACACATGTCATGAATATGAAGGAGGTTTTATGCATGTTTATGACAACTGTCATTAAGTGTCATTCGCTCAGTTATGTCATTTTTAATGCAAATATTACATTATTTGACCTAACCCTACCCCTACCCTTACCCCTAACCATAGCCCATAACAAAGACATCTCAAACAATGTCATCTTTGCATTAAAAATTACATAACTGAGCGAATGACACTTAATGACAGTTGTCATAAACATGCATAAAAACCTTCATATTCATGACATGTGTCATGTCATGATTATGTAGGTGTCATGTCATGATTATGAAGGTGTCATGTCAGTCTTATGCACACCCCTTCAAGTAAAGTGTAACCAAGAGTTTAGTTCTGAAACGATTCAACAGCATATTCTGAGAAACAGCCCGTTGTAATTACTCAAGTAGACTAGATGTGAATACCTGGGGTGCAGGAACACAGCAGTAGCAGACAAGTGATATGCCAACAGATGCTCATTGTAGACAGCTCAGTTACACTCAATGTGCACCACAGAGATGTTGGGTTCTACTTTTATAGAGAGATTCAAGGGACCCAAACCCGGAAGATAATAGCAAAAGCTGCAGCATGCTCTGCTTCCAGATCAGTTTCACTGATGTAACAGCATTTAAGTTAGAGAATGTTAAAGGTTGTTAGAGTCGATCACAGGTCGGTTATTATCATCTTTCGTTGTTTCACAACTAACACTTTGGTGATAATATCAGAAAGTGCTCACTAGGGGCAGTCTTGATAGTTGTGAGAATTTCATAATCTGTAATTTTTGCAACTTCTGGCACCTGGATTACTGTAATTTTTTTATGCATAGTGGACACTTTACAACCTTAACAAATAACCTGAAGTCTTTGTGGCATGGATTTAGCAAGGCGCTGGAAAGTTTTTTTTTTGTTTTTTTTAGAAAGTCTGGTCTCTGTTGAGATGGTCAGATGATACAATTGCTGCAGATTTATCAGCTGCACATTCATAATGTCAATCTGCCCTTTCTCCACATCCCAAAGGTACTCTTTCGAGATCTGGAGACTGTGGAAGTCGTCTGAGTACACTGAACCTCTCGAGTGTGCGTGCATGTTTTTATGCACTGAAATTTCTCGGGTGCTTCCTTGTTGCTCAAGCTGTTTCACGACTTATTCAAGTGTCCTCATCTCTTGTGGTGGTAGAGACTCTGACATTTAACCTCTTTATAAGACTTTTCAAAATGGTTAGAGTCCTCCTTACAAAGGTGGGGATTACAGGTCAGTTTGCTTGAACTAGCTGCTTGAATAACATTAATTGTCTATTTTGTTTCAGATGCATGATTTTTGTTCTCAGCGTTCATTTATTAGCATTAACATATTTTGGATAAGACCTTTTTAAGTTACTTTTTTTCCAGAGCAATAAATCTGATGTCTAGATTCAGGTTTGACTGTGCTATATTTTGCTGAAAGTGGTGATTCTGTAGAAAGGTGTTCATTTCAAATGTTGTGATCTTGTGAATTCCATGATTTTTCTTTATGGTATTTTGTCCAGTAATTAGCATTGCAGGTTTATTAGCATAGTTGTTTTCTAGGTTAGTTCTAGCAGTGATACAGTGCACTTTGTGGCCAGATACTGCACAAAAACTCAAGTAGATTTTAGCCACAGAAAATGAAATTCTTATTACACGTTTGTGAAAGGGTTACAAATTAGCCTTTATTTTAAACCTGCACATTTAAAACCTACACATCTACACATGATTGGTGTAAAACTAAACCCAAACATAAATGATAGAACTTGCATTGAACCAGACAACTACAAGACTTTATCCAGCTTGCCCTTCCATGTTTCATATTGCTGCTGAGTAGGTGGTTTCATGTTGTCATGAATCCATGAAAAGTAGTTGGAAATATGAGTGTACACTGTGAGGTAGTCTGCATTTGTGTGGTTTTTGTAAAATGACACAATTCCCTGTGCAACACCTCCACAAACAAGTGGACCCCCAGAGTCTCCCTGTGGATTATATCATTTGATTATTAGTATATCGCAATGCAACGGCACTTATACATCAGAGATCATTTGTGAGTGGTGCCACTTGAAATACCTGTGCTGGTCCAGTTGATCCCTCAGTGCACAGAGTGTCAGCCGTGCCACAGTTTTCAGAGTCTATCAGAGTCACGTTTGCTTCTTTGAGCACATTTGAAGGAGACTCGTTATGGTAATCTTGCCAGCCCCAACCTATGACCATGCAGTCCTTTGAGATTTTTTCATTCTCAGGTTTTGGCAAAGCGATAGTACTCACATTTTTGTTCAAAATTGCTGCGGTTTTGAGCTGAAAGAGAAGATGCAAAGTTCTTGATTCAGACTATAACCACATTTCATTCAGTGTAAAATGAGCAAAAGTATATTTGGTAAATGTTAACAATTTCCTATCATGGAATTATGTTTTTAGGCATGATACCAATGAAATTGTTCAATCTTATGTTATTACCTTTAGAAGCATGATGTCATGACCTTTTCTCTTCATATTGAATTTTGGATGTGGAATGGGATCTACCTCTACACCGTCAGGTAAATGGTTGTTGTTATCGACCCCCAAATATGCCATAAGATTACTAAAAAAAAAAAAAGACATGACTTTGGATGTTAAATGTCACTAGTCTAAAAGACACTTAATTTTCAGTAATATTATCAGTATACATCCTGATGCCAATGGATGAGAACAAAACTTGAACTGAATTAAACTGGATAATAACACTATTGTTTTATGTAGAGCTGATTTATAGCTGAATCACATCTTGCAACATCAACCCTGTTATTAAACTGTAACTAAGTTGAATTAACATTGAAGTGATATTGCTACCTTCTGTAGAACTGCTTATAGCTGAATTAAACTTGTAAAAGGTGAAATGATCTGTATTGTATAAAGCGCTAAAGAAATGAAGGTCACTTGACTTGAAAGTAGGTTTTTTTTTTTCATACAGTTGTAGACAATGAGTGCCTGCACTTAGTCAGTTTGTATACTCTAATTTCTTTCTGATTTTCAGATAAAAAAAAATTCTAAAATATGATAATTTCACCTACCTTTGTATGCAGTGGGCGGCTGTCATCACATAATCCTCTCTTACCAAAAAACCACCACATGCTTGTCTTGTAAACTTGTCACGAATGTAGACCATGTAGGGTCGACTGTGTGGAACGGAGACTTTACCGCCAACAATGCCATCATGCATAGAGAAACCTAAAAGAGTTTAGTACTATTCAATAGCATATTCTGGGACATACTCTGTAAAAAAATGACTGCTGCCACGATTACTTATCATATCTTAGTTAGATTTTTAGGAAACTTTAGTTAATTTGGATATTTAAGTTATCTCAACAAAAAAAGTTAAATTTAAGTTAACTAATTGCAGCAACTTTTTTTTTTTTTACAGTGAGACTGTTTTAATAACTAAAGTAGACTAGATGTGAATACCTGGGGCGCAGGAACGCAGCAGTAGCAGACAAGTGATATGCCAAAGGATGCTCATTGTAGACAGCTCAGTTACACTCAATGTGCACCACAGAGATGTTTGGCTCTGCTTTTATAGAGAGATTCAAAGAACCCACACCCGGAAGATAATAGCAAAAGCTGCAGCATGCTCTGCATTCAGATCAGTTTCACTGATGTAACAGCATTGTGTTAGAGACTGTTAAAGGAAGAGTTGATCATCATCAGCTTTAGTTGTTAAAATAAAATCAGAACTTGATAGTTATAAGAATCTTATTATCTGTAATGTTTGCAGCTTCTTGGTACCTTGATTACCATAATTCATGGCCATTTTTTATGCATAGTCGCTACTTGATCAGGTACAACTACAAACCCAAGAACAACCTGATTTGTTTGTGGCATGGATTTAGTAAGGGGTTGGAAATATATTTTTTAGAAAGTTTGGTCTCTGTTGAGATGGTAGGATGATACAATTGCTGCAGATTTATCAGCTGCACATTCATAATGTCAATCTGCCCTTTCTCCACATCCCAAAGGTACTCTTTCGAGATCTGGAGACTGTGGAAGTCGTCTGAGTACACTGAACCTCTCGAGTGTGCGTGCATGTTTTTATGCACTGAAATTTCTCGGGTGCTTCCTTGTTGCTCAAGCTGTTTCACGACTTATTCAAGTGTCCTCATCTCTTGTGGTGGTAGAGACTCTGACATTTAACCTCTTTATAAGACTTTTCAAAATGGTTAGAGTCCTCCTTACAAAGGTGGGGATTACAGGTCAGTTTGCTTGAACTAGCTGCTTGAATAACATTAATTGTCTATTTTGTTTCAGATGCATGATTTTTGTTCTCAGCGTTCATTTATTAGCATTAACATATTTTGGATAAGACCTTTTTAAGTTACTTTTTTTCCAGAGCAATAAATCTGATGTCTAGATTCAGGTTTGACTGTGCTATATTTTGCTGAATGTGGTGATTCTGTAGAAAGGTGTTCATTTCAAATGAACGTGTACGTGCATGTTTTTATGCACTGAATGTTCTCTGTGTTTCCTTGTTTCTTAAGATGTTTCACGACTTGTTTAAGTGTCTTCATCTCTTGTGGTGGTAGAGACACTCTGACATTTAACCTCTTTGTGTTACTTTTCAAAATTGTTGTATTCCTTGCAGAGGTGGAGATTACAGGTGTCAGTTGGAGTGAAATTGAGTTGTAATGGCCCCTCTTTCAAAGATGATTGATTTATCACTTGCTTAGTCAAGAAGTGTGTATGTAGCATCTTATTTTGGAAAAAGAAAAAAAAGATGTTTGCTTGATTTTTTCCCCTCCGTCTTTTGTAAAGTATAAAATACGATTTTATTTTTCAGACTGATGGGACATGTTGCATTTAAAGGGGTCATATGATGCGATTTCAATTTTTCCTTTCTCTTTGGAGTGTTACAAGCTCTTGGTGCATAAAGAAGATCTGTAAAGTTGCAAAGACTAAAGTCTCAAATCCAAAGAGATATTCTTTATAAAAGTTAAGAGTCAACCACGCCTACCTAAAACGGCTGGTTCTCACACGCCCCAACATATCTACGTCACGATGTGGGAAGATTTGCATAACGCCGCCCAAATGTTCACGCAAAGAAAGAAGGCGTAACTTTTATTCTCGCTGTAGTATTGTTGTTGCCGCCGCCATGTCGTGATGGCTCTGTGTGTTTCGTTGTGAAAGCGAAACTACTTTGTTTGGTCTTCCAAAAGAGAACACGACTAGAAACATCATGCCTAATACACCAAATAATGTTCTTTTTAGCAACATCAAATGACCCCTTTAAAATTGAGAGCAGCGATGATGAAATTACATGCATTTACTTTTAGAATCAAACCACTTACTATTAGTTTGATGTAGGTATTGGCCAGATGTTCTGTTATGCATGATGGAATATTTGGCAAACTGAGACCTTTTGTGTAGCTAGCTGCTTGAGTAGCATTAATTGATTATTTAATGCATGATGCATGGTTTTTATTCTCAGTGTCTTCATTTAGCATTCACATCTTTCTAAGACCTTTTTTTTTTTTTTTTAGAGCAATCAATCTGATGTCTAGATTCAAGTTTGATTGTGCTATATTTAGCTGAAAGTGGGGATTCTGTAGAAAGGTATTCATTATAAAATCCTGTGAATTTCATTCATTTTCTTTACGGTATTTTGTCCAGTACTTTGTATTGCAAGATTATTAGCATTGTTTTTTTCCAGGTTAGTTCTAGCAGTGATAGAGTCCAGCTACTGCACAAAAACTCAAGTAGATTTTAGCCACAAAAAATGAAATTCTTATTAGACTTGTGTGAAAGGGTTACACACGAGCCTTTATTTTAAACTTGCACATTTAATGTCATATTGGTATAAAACTAAACCCAAACATAAATGATAGAACTTGCATTGAACCAGACAACTAAATGAGTTTAGTCAGCTTGCCCTTCCATGTTTCATATTGCTGCTGAGTAGGTGGTTTCATGTCGTCATGAATCCATGAAAAGTAGTGTGAAATATGAGAAATATGGGAAATATTAATCCCTCAGTGCACAGAGTATCAGCCGTGCCACAGTTTTCAGAGTCTATCAGAGTCACGTTTGCTTCTTTGAGCACATTTGAAGGAGACTCGTGATCGTATTTCTTCCAGCCCCAACCCATGACCATGCAGTCCTTTGAGATTTCTTCATTCTCAGGTTTTGGCAAAGTGATAATATTCACAGTTCTGTTCAAAGTTGCAATGGTTTTGAGCTGAAAGCGAAGATGCAATGTTGAGTTAATAACCCCTATATTTCTTAGTTTTTTAAATTTAAAGATAATGCATTCATTAATTTTGCTATATAAATTATTCACTTGTATAGTCTGCAAATGTCAACCATTTCCTATCAAGAAAGGTCTTTTTTTTCTAGATGTGATGGTAATGAAATATATCACCTCCTGAAGCATGATGCCATGACCTGTTCTGGCCATAGTGAATTCTGGATGTGTAATGGGCTCTACCTCTACACCGTAAGGTAAAAGGTTGGTGTCATCAACCTCATAAAGTAGACTGGATGTGAATACCTGGGGTGCAGGAACACAGCAGTAGCAGACAAGTGATATGCCAAAGGATGCTCATTGTAGACTGCTCAATTATACTCAGTGTGCATCACAGAGATGTTGGGTTCTGCTTTTAAAGAGACATTCAAGGGACCCAAACCCGTAAGGAGTTTCACTGATCTAACAGCTTTTAAGTTAGCGACTGTTAAAGATTGTTAGAGTTTATCACAGGCCAGTGATTATCATCAGCTTTAATTTTTTTTATACTGTAGTGATAATATCAGAAACTACACACTAGGGACTTTATAGTTCCAATAATTTATATGAAATGTTAGCAACTTCTGGTACAATGACTACCATAATTCCTGGTAGTTATTTATACATAGTCGCCACTTGATCAGGTAGCCTACAACATTTACAAACCACACTTTGTCATGGGCTGTCAAATAAAAATTTGAATTTAAAATATTCGTCGAATTTAAAATAAAAATCCACATTCTAATGCAAAAACGTTGCATTCGAATTTTAGGTGTTGGTCAGGCAGCCTTATCAGTGGTGTATGAAATGTGATGATGGCAATGTAAGTGTCGTTGCTTTTTAATGTTTTTGTTAGCCTATCCAGTTGAACCCACTGGAAGTGGTGATGCTGCGTTGTTCATTCAAAATATTGCGGAAAACAGAACATCAATGCGGAGAAGATCTTGTTTACGTCAAAACTGAAACCAAGCCGTTCACACAGAGCACATTTTCTAGAGGGACATCTATCACAGTTGTACTTGCGTCTCGCACAAAATAGCCACTTAAGAGATGTTTAGAAAGCCATGTAAAATTAATGCAAGTTCAACTTTAAAAAAAACATGTCTCGCACTGCATCTCACATTTTTAAATGAAAAAAGTACTCTGTGTGATTGGCTTTCGTCCCTTTAAACTATGCATACATGATACTGTTTTGTTTATAATTGTTTAAGCAACTTAAGTATATTTGGTTTATAAACATGCACTTTTTCACAGATAATCATGTTATTTTATTGCTTTAATAAACGTACATTAGTAATATTTTGCTCCATGTCCCCTCTTGTGACCTCAGGAGAGAAGCCAAAAGCCTTTTTCCCCCTAACTGAAATTATGCCTTTTAAATTTGAATATAATTTGAATATTGATAATTAATAAGTGCAAAATTCAAATTTAGTTTTTCAGTCATTTTGACAGTCTCCAAAGGTGGAGATTACAGTTGTCAGTTGGAGTGAAATTGTCAAGAGAAGCAGACAGTCAAAGCTCAAGATGACTGACTTCAGCCTTGGATGTGTTATCCATGTCTTTTAGATGCACTTGTCCACAACATCCACAGTTGTTTGGTTTCATTGAGGTAAATCTCTGAACATCACGCTTGTCCCACAGACTCCTGTTCACTCTTAAAAATAAAGGTACTTAAAAGGTTCTTCACAGCGATGCCATAGAATAACTATTTTTGGTTCCACAAAGAACCATTCAGTCAAAGGTTCTTTAAAGAACCATCTCTTTCTTACCTTTTTATAATCTGAAGAACCTTCTTTCACCACAAAGAACCTTTTGTGAAACAGAGGTTCTTCAGATGTTAAAGGTTCTTTATGGAACCATTTAGACAAAACAGGTTCTTCTATGGCATCGTGAAGCAACTTTATTTTTAAGAGTGTTGTTCTGGTGGTTTGAAAACCCCCAATATTGCTTGTTTGTTTAATTTAAAGATCTTAGCTGCTAATTTTGTTCTAACCAATAATAGAATTTAAACAGAAGCCCAAACCCATTTCACACATGTAATCAGCAGCAACTCCAACAGTTAAATGTCTTGTGAGCCATATGTTGGGGAGTCTTTACCATTGGTCTACAACTGACGAGGCCACTCAGATAAAATGTAAAACATCTTGAAAAACAGGAAAGTGAAGTTTCATAAACTCAAGGACATTTACCTGTGCAAATAAATATGCAAATAATATGTTCAGCAAAAAAACTGTGCTAGCGGGTTGGCAGCGTATGCGTGATTATCCTTCAAGCATGCTTGTTTAAAAATAATGGTTCAGCTGCAGAGTTCATTGGGCCAGAGG